AGAGAGAGAGAGAGGGCGTAGGCCTGGCTCTCTTGGATATTAAGAGGGTGGGGCATGAATGAGTGCTCCTCTCATTTGTCAAATCCAATATGCTGGATAATATTTGTGTCAAATTTCATTTTCTTTTAATCCCATGTTTGAGGTGATGGGCTGACTTGTTAGTGTCTAGTCTTGTGAAGGGTCTCAACACTTCGCCAAATTGGGCATGCGCCAGCTGTAGGGTGGGATAGATTTAGTAACGGTCTCCTGCTACATACACTGCTTCTTATCATGCATTGTATATAAAGACTTGGATACACATACCTATGGTTCTGCATTAAGAGATTGCTCTCTATAAAAGGACTCGCATGTGAAGATCATATCACCTCTCATGGGACTAGTTTTGAACGTTTTCTGCCTTCTGGGGTCGGTTGTTTTGGAGTAGAATTTATCTAGTTCTCACTTCTCAGTAGTCTTATGCAAAGTGAGCACATGTTAATGTTTTGGCTTGTCTCACACTTAAGAATTTGAGATACTTTTGTTAAATCAATTACATCGAATTCAACTATAGGAGCTTTTAACATTATTTAAGATCTCACCTGACACTTCCATATGATCAGAATGTAAGATATGATGGGGATTCTGATACAGTGGGATTAGGATTCTCCACTCATAGTAGGAATGGACTGCAAAATATTTTTGATTGGAATTTTAAGTTCAAAGTGAAGGTCTTACTTTAATTTTAAGCTAGAGACCTGTTTTGACGTTCGATGTTCAAACTTCAAAATGAATTTTTTTGTATGGAACATGGACTTTGGAACAACTTTTTTAACTCTAAAAAGAGGCAAGTGACTCGATACAAAACTTCAATACGAATTGGGTCACTTTGTCTTTTTTCTATGAAAAGCTAGTTAGTTTAGACAGGTTTAGAACTTGAAGCCCTAAACCAGTAAATTATTCACTTTAAAAGAAGACAAGGGACCTGGTTTGAACTCAAGTTCTTAGCCTGATATGGAACTTGAAGTTAAAAAAAAATTGATTTGTGAATTAGAATTTCCAACTGACCTCACTTAGAAGCAAAAAAGATCCCGGTTCTGAACTTGGTTTAAATCCACGGATATATGAAAAAAATAAAATATCACAAAAAAAAAAAAGGATGTAAATTATGAAATACTAGGAACGTTATTTAAAGGATAAAGTTTATATAAAATGCGAACAATCAAATTAGGGTGTACCTCTAAAATTTCACTAGATGTTGTTTTGATGCTCAAATATCTTCAAATTGATCATCTTGACTTCAAGATACGTGGACTTGAGAAAAAAAAAAAAAAAAAAAAGGTTTCAAATTTTGGAAATAGTGCATTTTGTAATGCATTTTTGGATCGTCAATTTTCAAGATTTTATAGATTTGTTCGATCTATACTATTTTTGAAGTTTTAAATTTTATAATTAGATATGAAAATATATTTTAAGGCTATCACACATATTTCCAGTTTCTCTACACTATTTAAAGGTGCATTTTACTTTGATTGTTTAGAGCTTCGGCTGTACCCTCTTTTAAATTCTACATATTATAGGGCCTACTTAAGCAAATTTCCCCTGGTTTAATATTTCTATCTACTTGATTTGGATGAGGAATGGACCTTGATTTAGAGAAACGTACAATGACACTAGGTCAATAAAAACTAATCAACCGAGTCTTCCTTGTCCAATCGTGAATGGGTAGACATTGGAACCAAGTGATGATCATAGTACGTTTTTGCAAAACATTTTGTCTGCTGGAGGGGGGCTGCTGTAGACCACACTGTCCACTCTCACCCATTCTGAAGGCTGTAGGGGCATTTGTGTCGGCTCAGGGACACATTCCTCTTGAGCTTGTGAACAACAATATATCGGGAAATATTTTAAGAAAACAAAAAAATTTAAAATGAATCGACATTTGTGTCGGCTCAGGCTCAGTTTTAAATCAAGGGCCAAGGGAGATTAGTAAGAGCATACATTTTGTAGATTGCTGTGTCATCTTCGCATGAATAATTCTAAGGGCCTGATTCGATATCTAGATGTAGGTCCTAAGGAGATGCCTATCCTGGACCTGACATCTTCTAAAATTGGCATCTATTGGACTATAGGTGTCACTGGTTTGCCTTTTTTTTTTTTTTTTTTTTTTGCGTGATTCAATGGTAAAGGCAGGACCCCTACCCATTTTTTTTAGAGAAAATATCTCCATATCTCCTATTTTTAAGTTTCATTTCACAATAGACCTAATGTTTTAAAAGATATCTTGAGGCATAAAACTTGTAAATTTGATTTCTTCTAACTCTTGAGCTAATTTAAATATGTTTTTTTTAGGTCAAACAAATATAAAAAGACATGTATTTTTTAAAAGCCATCCTCTCAAACTTCTAAAGAGAGAGAGATAGGTGTTTGGAGAAATACGGTAGGAGAGAGAAAGTGAGAGATGCAAGAAGCGAGGGAAAGAGAGAAGTTTGAGATATATTAGTAAAGAGAGAAATGATTGAGTTTAAAAAAAACATGTCTTTTTCACATTTGTTTAGGTTAAAACATAGATTTAAAGTGGCTAGGGGGTTAAAAACCTTAAAATAGAGGATTAATTTTCCCCATTGCAATCTTTCCCATTGAATCACAACACCCCCAATTTTTGGGTGATTCAATTTGAAGGTGTTAATTAGGGGTGTTAGCAGTAGGAATGGATACCACGATGTGGTAATAGGGTATGGGGATGTGTTTCTCACAAATTTATTACATCTTTTTTTTTCCATTAATCCCATCATATTGATTGGGGCAGAAGTTTAAATTATCATCGGCAATTTATTGATAAATTAGTGTGACATATAATAACAAATTAATAATATCATTAATATACAAATGGTAAATATTAATATTTATGGCATTATAAAAATATTATTAACATAATATTCATAATATCAAAGTAATATTAATATTCCTATAAAAATAATAGTAGAATATTTTAATAATAAACATCATAATAGTATAATAGCATAATAATGTGCATAATAGTAAGGCGTTGTTATATATTGTTATATCTTATAAAGACCAATACTACTACTACCAATAATAATAAGGGAAGTTATTGCAAATATACTTATGTTTTCACAAAATTTGGAAAAAACCTCGTTTATACCCTTTATCACTATTTTTGAGTTTTTTTAGACGAAAATGCCCTTCACAGTAGTCTTTCTACCGTAATATATATGACAAGTTTTACAGTAATTAAAATACTGTAAAAATTTTAAGTAATACTATAGTACTTTTGTAAAACTTTGGTCATAACCCTTTTTTCCTTCGTATATATTTATCTCTTTCATCTTAATTTTATCTTTTTTTTCTCTCTCTAATTCTTTTTTCTCTCTCTAAATCTTTTATCTCCCTAATGGGATATTTCACCCTAATTTTATCTCTTCTTTCTCTCTCTAAATCTTTTTAATTTTTTTCTCTTCTTTCTCTCTCTAAATCTTTTTCATTTTTATCTCTTCTTTCTCTTTCTAAATCATTTATCTCCCTAATGGGATATTTCGCCCTAATTTTATCTCTTCTTTCTCTCTCTAATTCTTTTTAATTTTTATCCCTTCATTCTCTCTCTAAATCTTTTATCTCCCTAATGGGATATTTCGCCTTAATTTGATCTCTTCTTTCTCTTTCTAATTCTTTTTAATATTTATCTCTTCTTTCTCTCGTTAATTCTTTTTTATCTCTTCTTTCTTTCGCTAATTCTTTTGTATCTCTTCTTTATCTCTTTAAATCTTGTCTCCCTAACTGGGATATTTCGCTGTGTCTAAATTGACTTGTTTGAGTAATCAAACATTGACTTCGGCTATGCAAAACAGAGGACGGATCTATCTAAAGAAATGATGATGAAATTGTAGAGAGAGAAAAAAGAGATAAAAAAGAATTAGAAAGAGAAAGAAGAGATAAATATTAAAAGAACTAAAAAGAGAAATGATAGATAAACATAAAAAGAATTAGAGATGAAAGATATAAATATTAAAAAAATTAAAAAGAAAAATGATAGATAAATATAAAAAGAATTAGAGATGAAAGAGATAAATATTATCTAAAGAAACGATGATGATAAATATTATCTAAAGAAACAATGATGAGATTGTAAAGAAAAAACAGAGATAAATATTAAAAAGAATTAGAGAGATAAATAAGAGATAGAATTAGAGATGAAAGAGATAAATATAAAAGAAGGAGAAAAGGGTTTACGACATTTTAAGTGCTATGGGTTAGTTTTAACAGTACTTAAAATGCCGTATAATAGGTTTTATTTTTTACGGTACTGTAATTGGCTCCACGAACAGCCAGAGTTTTACGGTACTTAAAGGACCGTAATATTACTTAAAATTTTTACGGTATTTTAATTACTATAAAACTTGTAATATATATTACGATAGAAAGACTACTGTGAAAGACATTTTCGTAAAAAAAAAAACTCGAAAATAATGAAAAGGGTATAGAAGAAAATTTGGGGTTTTTATCTAATTTTGTGAAAATATAGGTATATTTACGATAATTTTCCTAATAATAATAATAATAATAATAATATTAATATTAATATTAGGTTTTAAGTCCTCTTTGTAGAGTTTGACCCCTCCGGGAGCGCAGTCTTTGAGAGAAATGTATTCCACCTATTATGGAGGAACACAAATCTCTATATTTTGTCCTAAAAACGTTGAGATAGATATCCGTATCCTATCTTAAAATGACATTGAGTAAATGCCTGAAGTAAATGCCTGATTTCCATGGAAATAAGTCTCCCAAAGACCCATTTCTATATATCCAAACATGCCCTAAAAAGAAATGATCTTTAATTTTTAAAGGGCGAGAACCTGCAACCCATAAAATAGATAAGAGTCCACTCACTGAGTTAAACAAAGACATGGAACTTATTTTTCAGTTTCTTTCATGGGTTTTTTGGGGGGTCAACTAGACAAATGCCCCTAAAGCACCAAAAATAAGAGAGGGCAGACAATTACAGTGAAATAGTCTCCCCATAATTTTCCCTTTATATTTATTCATGTATTTCATCAAATGGTTAAATAAGAGAGAAACTCTTGAAACTCGTATTCCACTATCTTAGCATAAACAACGGCAACAGCTTTTGTACTAGGCCAGCAGGCTGTTTCTTACAAGAAAACGGATGCGTATTAGCGCAACGGCTTTCACACTAAGCTAGCCATTGCTTCTTGCAAAAGAAAAACAGATGCGTGAAAGCCGTTATTTCTTTAGAGAGAGAGAGAGAGAGGCTCTTAAAACTTCTATTCCACTAACTTAGCATAAACAACATTCATCAAAGTATGTATTTACTCTTTCTATCTCATAAGTGTGTGTGTGTGAGACTTAAAACTTGTATTCTACCATCTTAGCATAACACTCTTTCTGTCTCCCAAGTCTAAACCTTTACGCCTTAGCATAACACTCTTTCTATCTCCTAAGTCTTAACCTTTGAACCTATGCACATTTACACTACTTTGCAGCCATGCACTCAGTTATGGATAGGTTTCTTCTTCCCAGCCGGTGTGTAATCCATCCCTGCTATGTCCATAGGGTCTGGATAGCCATCCACATGCACATTCACAGGGACAAGCTCTTCTCCTACCACCGACTCCCTTCTTCTCTCTTCAACTCCATTACCTACTGCCAGTGGTCTCCCTGTATCACAAGCCCATCGATTCGAGAAAGATAGTAAGTATAAGGAAACATAAAAATAATGGACTGCGTACGCCACTTCTATGTACGATGCACCACACAAGATGTGTCTTGTAGACTTCTTAATATATAAATTTCATAGTAAAAAATATGCAAAGAAATCAATTTTTTTTTTAAGACAAGAAGAGTACAATCACTCTTGTCCTTCACATTTCAAATTGGGTGGCTGTGAGCATGTAATTGACTACACTCAAAGTTCAAAAAGGAATTTCTCGATCTTTGCAATACACAGCAAGCCATTTAATTTGTAGCTAAGAGTGATATGTGAAGTCCTTGTAAAAAAGATAAATAGTCTCATAGAATACAATAGTGTTGTGCTAAATGCAATAAATCCATAATGCACAAACTTTTGCCATGTCATTTCACCATTCCTCATTTTTTTTCTTTGTATTTTCATAAAGATGAAAAAAAAACCATAGGTTTAAAAAGTATCAAGAGAACTTGTTCCCAGATTTTGTGTTGGAAGTCACTCACCCTCTGATAGAATCAAGAGAAGCAGGAGAAGAGGGACTCTCAGGAACTGTGGACTGGCCATGGCGGAGGTGAATCACTTGCAAAATAATGAAAACAGGGCTTTCTCGTTTCTACTCTCTGTCCCTTAGACTTTTTGTTTCGTGTGCGGTTGTGTGCCTGTGGGTAACATATATATATATATATATATTAGAAGTTTTGGAGGGAAATGGAAGAGGAGGTAATGTCAGGTGGAGAGGCTGCTGGCATGAGGCTCTCAATTTTGGACACTGAGGGTGGGCAGGTGGGCCGTGTCACTGTCCCACGTGGGGAGGCATACGGGGCGGTTTCACCGCTCGGGAGCAACCCACTAAATGCGACACAGACACTCTAGTTAGGACCACATTCACTCTCTAAGTTCTACATTCATCTCTTCAAGGTAGTGTCCATGACTTTTTAATGGCGGTCTTATTTGGATGCGACACAGGGGATGGTGATTGAGAGAGAGAGAGAGAGGAGGGGAGGGGGAGGGGGAGAGGATTGATAGAGAGAGAGAGAGGAGGAGGGGGAGGGGAGGGGAGAGTAGTGAGTAGAGAGAGAGAGAGAGAGATAATAGCTAAGAGGGCAGAACATGTGGGGGCATATAGACATTGCCCCTTCTACTTGTTTTTTTCAGTTTCTTTTGAATTGTGCTTAACTTTGTTACATATATTTACTGACCAATCTGATAAAAATGGAAAGCATTTTATAAAGGGATTGTACAATATGACACAATTAATTTTTGGTACAAATAGGTCACAATCATTTTTAATCATTGGATGTAAAATCCAATAGATCAAAGTGCATTACAATATCGGAAAAGCTTTACGGTCTTTGTACCTAAACAATGACATATGTTCAGCCCCTAATTTCAAATCTAGCAATCAATAATGATTGTGGCTACTTTGTATTAAAAGTAAATGATATTACCGAATGCATTTCTTTCTATAATAGTAATTACACAGTGTTCTTAAGTACTGTAGGGGCAGCAATTGATCTTTTAGTGTCATTTAACATTAAAAAAAAGGGCATCGTTATTATAAGGGAAAATTGTTTCATGTGGTGGGGACCGCATTTCTACATTTGTGGTCTTCAAGTATAAAGCATCCATCTTAAAGATGGATAGGTGGTCCATCTAAAAACAATTGAAACTCATGGTCCAAATATTTTCTTAATAGAGTTGTTATTTCTAATTTTCAGAACTTATTTATCTTTTCCTATTCATGATCATGATTATATGCCCTCAAAAATTAAGTCCAAAAATCCATCTCAAAAATAGATTTTTAAGAGGTGACTCATTTCTACATGGAATCATAGAAACCATGTCCTTCTATACATCCTAGGACTCATATGTAGAAATTAGTCTATTCTTAAAAAGTTATTTTTGAGATGGATTTTAGACTTAATTTTTAAGGAATATATAATCTCTAAAATAGAGGCCATGAACATGTAAAAAAATTAAATTTCAAAAATTGAAAACAATAACCTTATGAAAAAAAAAATGATGACCATTGGTTTTAACTTGTTTTGGAAGGACCACCCATTTGCAATGTTCAAATGGAGGGACTACCCATTTGAGGTGTTTAAAAAGAGGGACCACCCATTTGTATCCATGTTAAACAAAGATATTTTATGCCTAAATGAGGAATCCGACATACAACTATTTTCTTTAAAAAAAGGAGCATCAGTTCTATCACCATCAATTCAAATGATGGATGATGACAAAGATGAGTACAGGACCCACAAAAAGAAATTACCTTCCATGATTTCAATAGACGAGGACATGGGGCTCTTCATAGGCCTTAGGGACTATGAATAGAAAGATGGAGACTTTTATATGACAATCAATACAACATCCCACGTTTCAATGCTTTAAAACATTTAAGGAGAGGGCATTCTTAAAAGATTTTGCTATGGTATTTTTGGGCATGCCCTAAACCTTAGTTTCCTTTGATTGATATGTAGAAGTCTTCTTTTTTCAAATTCCTATGAAACACAATTTGAGAACCTACGTCTTTCATTAAAGATGCTTAATATCCAATTATCTTTTCATTAAACAATAACTTTACAAGCTACAGGGGCTGAGGTCGTGGCGGTAGCATAACCCATACTTCAGTGGCACATTGTTGCTTTCATTCCCACTGACAGCTTCAAAAAAACCAAATAAAATGGATAAGAGCATGTCATCCCCACTACATTACCTATAAAAAACTTTACAAGCCACATGTTCCGAAATTTCATGAACTCCATTCTCTCTCTCTCTCGGTCTTGCTTATATGCAGTACTTATGCAGTGGAGACCACTCATGAACACATCAAATCCTGGGCACTCTTTGTTGGAGACCTTGCATCTACACACAAAACCAACAGCAGATATGTCCCAGGCACTGTTGTTTTCCAAGTCTCAAAATCCAAATGTATATCTCTGTCTCCTTCTCCATTGATAACAAACATCAGGGCCAATCCTCACATGCCTATGTTTACCTCAACCACTATCCTCTAATCTTCATGACTATGAAATGTCTTCAAAGTATGGACATTGCATGGATGGAAATTTTTCACATGATGCAAACCCTTTTACTCCTATAATTTGGTTACATTAGGGAAATTAATAGTTATTGTCATTCCAAGAGATTTTTTGTGGCGAGGCTTTTCTAACTATCCTAGTTCCCTTTTTTGATAAATGAAAATATCAGATATCCTAGTTATGAAAAAAAACTAACATAACTAGGTGCTGTAACAACACTAGAGTTTTCAATTTCCTTTAGATAATTTTTTTTTTTATTTATTAAGATTCACATTTAATGGATTCAATTTTTTTCCCTATGAATGGCCCAGAGATAAGATAATCAATGCTTTCATCCAGAAGTGGAATCCAATATGCTCTACTACATGATAATCTGATTACTATGATAGAGGAAAGGTGCAGTCATTTGATATTAAAACACTATGCTCACTGTAACTTATTGATTGGCAAGGATTCTATCTTTTTTGTGATAAGGACGTATCAAACATACAATCCACTAGTGGGAGGAGCTAGTCTACTAAGCCTATAATAGCTGGATTTTCCCTCCCACTTTCATGTGAATTAGGACAATAACTATGGTAATTAAGAGATGTTATGATTTTGACAAGAAAAAGGAACAAAATTACACTTGCATTTCCTTAACAAAACATTTACTTAAGGGACAAATTATCTAAGATCTTAAAATCTAGATTTAAGGTGCACCTTTAAAATCTTTTGAAAAATGTTTTTTTACTGTTGGAAAATATCTACTTGATCATCTGAACTTTGAAATGTATAGATATGGAGAAAAAAAAAAGAGATTTTAAATCCGAAAAATAGTACATCTTGCAACACATTATCTGGACTGTCTATCTTCAAGATTTTTATGCTTTTATAGGTTTGCTTGATTTGAACCATTTCAGAATTTAAACTTTTATAGATGGATTTTCACACCATCCTAATAAATTTCAACACCAAAATTGCATCTCATGAAAAAGTTTGGAGGTGCATCTTACTTTTATTTTTTTAATGTTGCAACTTATGCAAACCCTGTGAACATTTTATGCTAAAACTTATTTATATCAAAATAAGTGTTCCACTTTCAATCAGCATCTATATCAGTAATCAGGAAAAATGGAAAGTTGGATAGGGGGGGGTGTGGTGGTAGTGTTCCCTATGGTGGAGGCAGGGAAAAACCTTGTGATTTGCATAGAGCAGTTGAGATTTTGAACAAGGAGATCTTGAGGACTAGAATAGTTAGTGCTTTTGGACTTAATATGTCTAGTCTGTGAGGTTCAACATGATCAAAATCAAAATTCCATAAGACACACACAGAGGGTAGGTAGTCTAAGTAACTTTTGAGGCTTTACCAGTAAGCTATGACCATTTTCTTAATCGAAGAAGGCAGATTCCATTGCTAGGATGCTGTTTAAGTAGAAATTATAGTTCGACCTGTTTTGAGAAGTAGAGTGAACACTTTCAAAATATTTGTTTTACCCAAGGTTGAAAACCCTTTAGTAGTGTTAGGATATGGGGCCCAACCTGATTTGTGAATGACATTTTCTGTCAGATCGATTTAGAAATCAAGGAAAAATAATAATGGATTTTTAAAATAAGGGAAGTTTAACAACAAACTTCACTATGATTGGTTCCAAGCCAGTCAGTCGGTCCCAAGCCCTGAGAATTAAAGACGGTTGTGTTAGATTGGCAGCCAACATAAAATTTTTGCCACATATATTTTCTAAATTATTACAGGAACGTGATTTGTATAGCCGACCCAAATAGTTGGTTAATGCTCGGATGATGATGAGGATGACGGAAATCTAATAACAAGCACCTAATAAATGACATATTTAACAATTTTAACCATTTCTTTTTTATTTAATCTCAAGAATCCCATCAAAGCATACCTAAGCACTAGTTAGAATAGTTGATATTTCAAGTGTGTTTTTTTACAATTGGTTGAAATATTAAATGATTGATGTTAAGAGTGTTTCTAAAGGTATTTTCGTAATGAGAAATATTTGGAAAACATGAGTATAATGGACTTTGCAATGGATGTATGCGTTTGCTGTTTGTAATAGTTCATAATTCAAATAACTTTTGCATTTAAAATAGATATGGCAGGTGCTTATTAAATACACATACATCACATAAAGGTTTGGGTAAAATAAGATAAAGAAAAGATTTATAGGAAAGAAATGAGCAAAACACATATGTTTACATTGGTCGACAATTTCCTAGCAAACATAGGTTTACATTGGTCGACAATTGCCTAGCAAACTTTCTCTTCCAATAATAGTAAAAGAGCAATTGTTTCATGCGGGATGGATCGAATTTCTACAATATGTGGTACAGAGCTACAAAGCATCGAATGCAAATAGATATTCCATTTAACGGTCAAAATGTTTTTTTAATATAATAATTATTTCTAATTTCTCTTTTTTTTCATGACCATGCAAAGATTATGCATTCCTTAAAAATTAGGATCATATTATATTTAAAACACATATTTATTGCCAAGCCTGCATTTCTACGATATGCGGGTTGGCCGCATGCTAACCACGTCCATAGAAAAAAGCTAATGCTAGAGTTTCCAAAAACCTTTTCTTCACAAGCGTA